AGGTATTTGTCTATCTACGGAAGGGTACACCCGCAACTTCGCTAAGCGAACCCTTATTCACTAAATCAAAAACTGTCACAAATGGCCAGTGCTAAGCAGGGACTTTGGTCAGTGCTTAGCGAGGGCATGGCCCGAGCCTCCATCATGGGTTCCAACCCTCACAGCATACCAACCTTCGAACTCGATACCTTCAGTTAGATACCGGTTTCGTCACACGGGGCTACCTAATTTTAGTATATAATAACCGGTTATCTTTATATACTAAGGGCTCTACTTATTATAGGTCTACTATGTATAATCGGATTACTATAAACGTCTATACCCTAGCGTTTATATAGATTATTACCTATACTTATATATCTATATCCTTATTATTATTAAACTATATTATCTTAATAAACTATATCTAGATAAGGTTAATCTAATCTATATATACTAGGAATAGAAGTATATTCTCTTATATAGTGTTACGGAGTTGGAGGAATTGGGGGCAGATCACGTGTAGCAGCACGGCACGTGCGTGCTGCTGGCAGCCTGTATATAAGCTTCTGTTCCTCTGGAACTCTCTTCCTTCCTCACTTAGTTGTTCGCTCTATATAGCAGTTTCCGTTTGACTCCGTATTCATCACAGCAAGCAGTGGTTCACTCCACACGGTCACATATAGAACGTAGTATTTTAAACTTAAGTAATACTAGATCCTAGAGGATTATTCTTAGGGTAAAAACCCTAGTAAGTCTCTAGTTGATTAATAATAGGAGAGGTAGATCTTTTTTGAGGAGTTAGTAACCGGCGACCTTAGTAATAAGCTCTTACTACTCTTGCTATAGTATTAATTACTTTTCTTATAGTATCTTCTTTATTATATTAGGCTTGTAATTCTGCCCTTACTGTTTCGCGAGCTTCTTTAGCTAAGCGGTTCCTTACTCCTATTAGAGTTCGCTAATTATAAAGGTTTTGTTCTATACGTATAAACGTGTAATTACCTACTCTAGTAAGATTTATAGAACAAGCTCTTTATAATATACGTTTTAGAGGTTTCGGAGGTATAATTAAGGCTTATTGTTTTAGATTAACTAGATTTAAAAGAGCTAATAATCGTGCTATGTAGAACGATAAATATAGTGTTGTTAATAAAGGAGTATACTCGTATGTGGGATATTTATCCCACCGAGTTGCTTAGTAAGCACTCCCTCATTCACAATAAACCACTGCTACTTAAGAAGATAAGACTAAATATAGACTTCCTATAAGTCTCTTAGACTAGAACTACAATTTTGCGGATTATGTAAGGCTTCTAGTTACAATTCTAAATATTCTACCCTTTAGAATAGTATATTCTAATAGTTTTACCATTTAGAATAGGATATTCCATAGGGGGGTCTTGAGATGGAATGGAGTTACAAATGCCGAACGTTGATAACATACATCCAGAAACGGGGTTTCAAATTCTTATCATCCATATCATCTCTATTCTCTTATAAAGACTAATTATCAGAACCTTTAATTATTTCGCTTGTTGCCGCTTATTCAGTTGTCATAACCTCGTAGGAGACGTGCCTAGATGACCCCAAAAAGAGGAAACTAAGGGATTTATTCTCGATAACTAGGCTTTGAAGATTTCTCTATGTGCATGCTCATATAGATGATCTTGTGTTTGAGTCTGTCAGATTTGAGTGTTATTGTCGTTACAAGCAAAACGATGGCTGAACTGACTGTTACAATGTCACCATTTAGACGAGCGGGCTCAGGCTCACATTTTCTCAGTCTCCCTTTGAGATTCGGCGCAAGATGTATTATCTTACTCGTGTCTTCCAATCTTCATAGGGCAACTCATGTTGTTTCAACGAAAGTGATATCTACCCTTGGTGGTATGAATGGGCTCGTTCAGCAACATTGCGTCTCGTGAGTAGATACTCGCCGAATCTCAATCTTTCTGAGATCATTTACTTTTTCTATTCTTCTCCTTTGATCTTTACTAATGAGGTAAAGACACCCGCAGAAAAGAGTCATTACTAGAACGTCACATACTAGGGAGCTCATCGCTCAACCAATCTCTACCCTATGTCAGCAGTGGTACTCAGAAATTCAAGAGGCTCTCTACTCCAACTTCATATTCAAAATCAACGCTCAACTCAAAAGACAGAAATTGAGGGACGTGTCATGTTCGGCTTCCCTCCGCAGGCTCTTTCATCTATTCGAAGTGGGAGGTTTCTATTTAATATCCCTTGGACGTGCATTGAATATCCTTTTGGCGAAGAGTTGATCCAGGAAACTCATGCACTTGTTGATAATCTTCCTGGTCTGTAATCTGTGGGGATACGATTTGAACATCTGAATCCTGAGACGCCAGGGTGGCTTGTAGCCAATGGATATGGGAGGGGACGTACGATCCCGCTACTAAAGGAGCCGAAAATTCTCAAAAGTATGTTAGTACTTGGCCGGATGATTTTGCATGTAGATAGCATTGGTGTTTTTGTATACGAATCGCTTGAGATCTTGGAGGAGTACGCGAACGCTGGAGCGATGGAAAGGTGACAGAAGGAGGACTCGTGGTTTGAATGCGAGTGTCTGGCGGTCAAATTTGCAAATAATCTTCATGCTGAATGAAACTCAAATTGGCCAGTGACTTTTCGTGGTATTCCCCGCATTTATGTTGGAACTGAGCCGAATAATCTTATTTGGAGACTGGATCTTTGGGACGTGAAGGAATGGGAATATGGTAAGTACTGAGCGATTGATGTTCGATTGCCATGTCTTGAATGTACCTAGCGAAGAATTAAAACGTCGTGAATTTGGGAAATGATGACTGCGAGAATTAGAGTGATAATGAATGTGTTTTCAAGTAACTATGACAGAAAGAGTAATCAAGAATCTAGTTATTAAATTGTCAAAAGAGTAGTTGAGATTTCCAGAATTCCTTGTCTAGATTGTTATAAGCCCATATAGTTAAGTAACTTCTGTACATACTTTCTCCACGAATCTAACACCACAACTTCGAAGTGTGTAATAATCTCAGGGGTGTATTTGCAACTTGATTAGCTACAAGTCACTTTCTCAACGAGTTAAAAGTAGGAACCTAAGAGACGAACTTCAAGCCGCGGTTACTAATAATTATAAAAACTAATGAGAAATTGAGAGGTTACTGTTTTGCCATGTATTTAAGGATATGGAGTAATAGTCAGTGCGTCTTCCTACGCGAATGGACCTGGGAAGGAGTGGAGGGGAGTACTAGTCACGTGGGCGGTGAGAATCTGCCAGGGGGGTTGTCATAGAGTAAACAAAACAAAATAAACCCTCCCAACAACTTATATCCATACGACCTTCACGACGCTCACGACCAACGACCAACGACTAACTCGACACCAAAAGCACAATGGCCGACTCTGGAAATCTCATTGATTTCGATATCATCGAAGGCCAAAAAGAAAATATTCAGTCCCTGCCTGGCGGACGATCGGCGCGAACACTCGCAACCTTGTTTTCTCCCGGCGCTGGCCCTCTACATAAACTGGCAACACCAACTCCTTCAGACACGAAAGATCTCAATGATGCGGTGAGAGAGGAATATGAGTTGGAGTTGGATAACATCTCCGAATCAGACGATCCATTAGATATCTACGACCGCTACGTGCGATGGACCTTGGACGCCTATCCCTCAGCACAAGCTACACCAGCATCACAATTGCTCCCGCTTCTCGAGCGCGCGACCAAAACATTTCTTAATTCAGCACAGTACAAAAATGACCCACGATATCTTAAACTGTGGATTTCCTATATTCGATTCTTTTCAGATACCCCGCGTGAAACATTCGCTTTTTTGTCGCGTCATAACATTGGGGATGGATTGGCGTTATTTTATGAGGAATTTGCAGCGTGGTTAGAGGGCGCTGGACGCTGGACACAGGCAGAAGAAGTATACAAGTTGGGAATTGAGAGGGAAGCGCGGCCAGCTGCAAGGCTTCTTCGAAAGTTCAACGAGTTTCAGCAGAGATTTGCTGCAAGACCAGAGGACACAAATGAGCCATCTTCACCCGCTCTGCCCACGGTTCGACCTGCACTTGGAGTAAAAGTAGACCCATTCGCTGCTGCTGCACCTCGGGATCCACAAGCACCACAACCTAATAACGGAGTGGGAGGCTCAGGCACGAAAAAGAGTGGACGACAAAAGCTTGCAATTTTCTCAGACGCAGACGATGCTGCACCGGCAGTTGCAGGTACAGACATTCGAGGTTGGGATAGCATTGGATCTTTGGCAGATCGCAAAAAGGAAAATACAATGTCACCAAGACCCATGGCTGGGGAAACTTTAAAGGCTGGCGGAAAGAAGAGCAGCACGAAAATGGCAATATTCAAGGATGAGGTTAGTTGATTTACATTCTCCTCTCCTCTTTATGCATATATTGATTATCGCAGGACTAACGATTGTCGTTTTGGTGTTTTGTAATTCAGTCTTTACCACATTACGAATATTCTCAAGTAACCAACCCTGCACAACAACAAGTGACCGTGAATCAGAAAGGAAGAACAGAGCGTATTGCTGTGAACCTGGAAGCCATGTACCCCACACCTGACATTTTAGGCTCCGAGTTATGTCTCGAGGAACTAAGAGCTGCCAGTCGAGGATGGCTAGGTAAAGTTTGGCCCTCTGAGAAGCCTCCTAAAGCTTCAAAGAAAATGATGATTTACGATGACCAAAATGATGTAATTGAACCTATTGTTCAGAGAGTTGAAAAACTTGTTATTGCCCGGGATGCAGTAATCGTGGATGAGAACGGGGTTGTCCAACAAATTACGAGGGAAGGGAAAGGTAGAAGAATGAAGATTAAGGAAGTCAACGAAACACAAATTAGTAAGTGTGCATGTTATGGTGACTTGCAAATTGCTAACCTTTTGAAGTCAAAGCAAAACTGGAATCACCTTCTGGAAAGAAGATGACGAAAAGAAAGGGTTCCAAAGAACAAACAATGACACTTCATACACGAGCGGCCACAGATGAGATATACGACCTTTTCAATCAACCCCTACCCACGCAAGAAGAGGAGGAGGAAGACGAAGTCAGCGATGATGATGACGACGATGATGGCAATACCACAGATGGAGATTATACCAGTGGTGCTGAAAGTACGAGGACTAGTCAAATGCCTACCACAAGCGAGGCAGGGGATGATTTTGACGAGACTTCGGACGTTAAAAGTGTAAGCGAATGGTCCGAGTTCACAGAGAGGAAACATGTACCCAAGACGGACGACGATGGGAATGATGATACACAAGGGTCTCGGTTCTCTGCAGTCGACGATACATTTGAGGCTATCGAAGTAGGGCTCCCACGACACAATGAAGAAGAAGACGAGGAAGTAGTCACTCCAATATCGCCGGAGATGCCATCGAACGCAAGGAAGATGTTTGTCCCGATACCACCCGAGGATTATGAGCCCGCTACCGGACCCTATAGAGACCCCTCACAAATATCTCAGAATCGACTTCCATTTATGACCCCAATAGTTGAGAAAACGGAATCATCTCTAGGTCTGCCGACTGCAAGAGGACAGAAGGATTATTTCAACGCCAAAACGCCAAGCAAAGAAAGAGGTTCAGCTAGGCCTCCGGCAGTCGAGCTGGGGAGTAGTCCGTTTCGGGAAATTATTAACGAGGCTCTTCCAGTTGAGAGAATAGCGCAGCCACTTCTTGGAAAGAATGTCAAGAATAACAAGTTAGCTGCCGCTACTTCAAAGGTTCAGAGTAATGCTCCTCTAGCAAAGGAGATTGTACAAAAGGGGCCAATAATCAAAGATGCTCAGTGCAACCCAGTGGATGATTACACTCGCAACCAGATATTCGAGAAACTTCAGCCCCCATTGTCAACATATGACGGATTCTTCGAGCACAAAGACGAAGCCGGCAATCGGAGTGCTGAGATCAGGAAGTTTGCAAAGGCAATGGCGAAGATGGCTAAAAACGCAAACGATAAAACATCCACTAATATCTCTATGCCGCCAACACTTCGTTTCCCCGGTACTACACGAGAATACATGGTTAAGCGAGAGCTCGGCGCCGGAGCATTCGCCCCAGTATATCTTCTGGAAAACGTTGCTGCCGACGAAGAAGACTCCGAGATATCTTCAGCAGTTATGGGCAAAGGTGCATTCGACGCATATGCCCGAAAAGATCTTGAGGCATTGAAAATGGAAGATCCACCCACTGCATGGGAATTTTACATCATGCGGCAAGCCAAACGACGACTTGGTGTCGCCCGAGCAGCAGAGAGCATCATCAATGTCCACGAGATGCATCTCTATGCCGACGAATGCTATCTGATTGAAGAGTTCCGCGAGCAGGGTACACTCTTAGATCTCATCAACCTCGCGCGTGCAGAGTCCACCGCCTCAGGAACAGGAGTAATGGATGAAAACCTTGTCATGTTTTTCACTATTGAACTATTCCGCACCATTGAAGCTCTCCACTCTAAAGGCATCCTCCATGGCGATCTAAAAGCAGATAACTGTCTTGTTCGCTTCGATGCTCTTAAAGATAGTGAAGTTTGGACCACTAAGTACCGTCGTGATGGCACGGGAGGATGGTCGAAGAAAGGAATATCACTCATCGATTTCGGACGTGGAATCGATATGAAGGCTTTCCTCCCCACTGTTCAATTCATCGCAGATTGGAAGACGGGACCCCAGGATTGCGCGGAGATGAGGGAGTTGAGACCTTGGACTTATCAGATTGACTATCATGGATTAGCGGGTATTATTCACAGCATGCTGTTTGGGAAATACATTGATACTGTGGTCGTCGCTGATAAAACACCCTCCATAACCCCCCCATCCACATCTACCGAAGCCGGTTTCGGAGGTTTCGGTACCGCGACAGCTGGCAACAAGAAAATCTGGAGGGTCAAGGAGAATTTCAAACGGTATTGGCAGACGGAGATTTGGGGTGGGGTTTTTGATTTGCTTCTTAATCCTACCATGCATGTCGAGGGGAAGGAGGAGGGCAGTAGATTACCTGTTCTGAGGGGTATGAAGGAGGTTAGGGAGGGGATGGAGGGGTGGTTGGAGGCGAATTGTGATAAGGGTGTTGGGTTGCAGAGTTCGATTAGGAGGTTGGAGATGAGTATTGCGGGGAGGAGAAAGTGATTCGTTTTTGGTTTGGTTGAGATACTGGGAGGTGTTGGTCCTTGGCGTTTTAGCTTTGTGTTTGGATTTGGAATGATTGGGGTTAGGGGAGGTGTTTATTGTTTGATTCACTTTGTGGTGTGAAGAAATGTGTAGGTGATGAATTATGAGATGGAATGATATATGTTGTGTATTTTTGAAATTTTGATTCCTCTCGATCGGAAATTAAGATGTTCATGGATATGCTCATTTGATCACAGATATATAATGGAAAGGAGACTGCCCGCGCCCTTCGCCATTCATCTAACCCGATAATACAAGTATCCCTTACTCTGTAAATCTTCACTTCACTTACCGGTAGGCAGATCGCTTAATATGGTACAGTACTGTATAGCTGGTAGTATCCCGCCAGTTTGATTGGCGAGAGCACTACGACCAAACCCTTTTCAGCGTTCTGTCTACCAGTAAGTGAAGACTTACAGAGTAAGGGATGTTAGGATAGATCTCAAGACCAACCCTTTCAACAACTGGAGACCGTCTTCGATGATGTTGTTCAACGATTCAGAGGTATTTGGGTAATGATTTTTCTAATTTGAAAGGATTTTCGACCAATGGTTTTGTGTGGTGTTAGAAGGAATGAAGGCTCTTTTCTTCCTCGGTTATCTGTGAGTTATTAAATGTCCCTCAGCTACGTAGGCTATAGGATGATATGATTTCCAAAAAAATGTGTTTTTAGCCTCATTGATGAAAAGTTTCGCTCGCCTGAACGTCTATACTATATATATCAAAGATTTGCCGTTTGGAACTCGATTCTCGATTCTGTAATTCTATTCTAGAGTAGAATATTTTAAACCTTTGGTATGGAAGGTATATTCTACAGAGGGGAGTCTGGAATGAGAGGGAGTTCTAGATGCTGTGCGCTGTATATTTTACAATCTTTCTAAATGTCTAGGACAAGTTACTAGATAAACTCCTCCATTTATTTTTGTTACTATATATAATTATAGATATAGTAATTCGGTGAACTGGAGTTCACATCAAATTCCTTCTTGACCCTCTGATCCGCCTGATAGGGCCTGCGTCTTACTAACTTTTCTCTAAGAATATAATAAGATAAACTATTGAACGATTCACTATGAATACCAGGTTCCATACTGTACTGTACATATATAATATTCTTCTTTCCCACGTACCACCATCACATCACAACCCCGACAGGACAGCGAACACTCACCATCCACAACACCCAGCAAGTTCCACTCAACCAAGCCATTCCACCTTAGAAGCGAACAATAGGCATGATCCTCCTCTCCCTCAAAGTCCTCCTCACGACCCTCGCTCTCGTCACACTAGTCCCATTCACAATCATACCCCTGGCACCAGACACAGTTGTCCCATTCATCCCCCTCTCCAAAACCACCGTCCCATTAACAACCCTCTCAAAAAGCGGCGGTCCCGTCCCATTCATCCCACAACCCCTCTCCACACACTTACTAAGCGTATGAATATACCTAATCCCCCCCCTTCAACACGAAACAAATGACTATCCGGCATCGCTTCCATAACATGACTCCTATCCAGCCCCGGAAACCCAAGATAAATATCCACCGCCCCCATCTCCTCATCAACAACATACCTCCTCTCGCTAACCTTCGTACTAGACGGTAGACCCAGCGAACACGTATTCCCCGTCAAATTCGGCGAGCGCGAGGTATACATCCCACCTTCCAACCTTGCGCAGAGGGATGAGAAAGGGATCGAGATGTTGGAATTGGAAAAGCGGTCGAAATTCGCATCACCCGTGGCTTTGATCACACCGCGAGAATCTCGTCGCGATGCAGGAATGGGCGTCCAGTCCTCGAACGAGGACCAATACAAATACCCCCCCGCATCAAGCGCCCAATCCCCCTTCTCAGTAACGATACTCTCGATCCTCCTCGCCGTCCCATTGGGAGCGAAGAGCATGCGTGTCCCAATCACGTACTGGTGCGTGCTGCTGGCGACGATGAGTTCTGTGAAGGTCCCGCATAGGACGGGGTCGTGGAGGGAGCGGTAGGCGTCGATTTTTAAGGGGGGTGGTGAGGATGGAGGAGGTG